ATCTCTTCTCGTTCGTTTACGCTTGTGATCCACGTACCCGATGAAGGGTGGTCCCCTGTCGGATCCCAATATGGAGTGAGGAGTGCTTCTTCTCGAGTAACGATTCTCTGTCCTTCCAGAACCCCACGACTTTCTAGTAGAAATCGGTAGGTCTATGAATGCACGGGCATACGGATGTCTAGGCTAGAGTGGCTTGTTGCTCCAGCAAGCTATCCGACCCGTACTCGTGATCCGGGTGCCGAGAATCGCTGAAGCTCCGAAAGGTGTTGCCTCTTCGGAGAGATAGATGGCAGACGGAAACGATCGCGAGGTTTCTATCCCGCGAGGGCTCACCCGAGGACCTCTCGAGCAGTCTCTCTTGAATTACGGTCGTCGAGATAATCTGTGATCGGGAAGTTCGCAAGACCCACATTACCCATCAGGCCAAAAGTTATATCCATTCCTCACCCGCTTCCGCGTCCCTACACTCTGAATGCCGAATCTTCGCCCTAACACTCACGCCCTCAGTGATCAGAAACCTTCGCACAAAGTAGGGCCGAATGCTGATCGAAGATACGAAACATCTTTGACGATACAAGACGCTTTCTCCAACCAGAGAAGGATTGGCTTCCATGTCACTTCAATCAATCGATAACCTTGCCCTTCGCGATAAGCGGCTTTTGCCGATTCATTTCCATTACGGCCGACGTCAGGCACAGAATCCCAACCCAGAAGATAGAAATAACCCTTTGAGAAGAAAAGCTGTTTTTCCTTGATGATTCCGAGGTAGGAACTCGGTTCCGCACTCATTGAGGACGGACCTCCTCCAATGGGACAGAAAGGAATGCATGTGATTCCCGTCAATCCACGGCACGATCGCGATAATCTGTTCGACACCATACATAGAATCGCTTCAGGGTCGTCCTGAAATGACCCTATAAAATCCATCTATCATTCCAGGTCGTTCCAGACCCGGAGTCCCGTAAAGCCCGGATCCTGCATTACCATCTCGTCGAAGAAATTCGTTCCGGTGAAGGAGAAAGGAACACCAGAATCTCGGAAGAGCGCTAGCGGCATACCTACCATAAGAGAGCTGTGTCATTTCGGAATCAGAAGCTCGTCCCACGACACGGGTCAGAAATAGCTCATCCCCATCAAATCTTCGACGGTATCAGAAGATGGCTTCTGAGGTTGAATCGATGTTATGAACGCTTTCTTTCGGAACACAAGCCAGAAAATTTGACCACGGACGTCAATCAAAAAAACAGCCTTCGGATTGCGCTTCGGAATATGGAGGCAGCACTTCTCTCCCGAAAGCTTTCTACTAATTCATATTTGATGTCATTAACTCAAACCTCATTTCGTAATCGTTTTCCTCACTTTGAATTACTACAATATATTCCCAGTCAGCTCTCAAGGGTCAAGAGCGCGGCTTTGGCAATCCCGAGTTCGGCCGTGGTCGGCCTACCGGATGCCCATCACGCAACCGAGATTCTTCGTCAGGGCCACCGGCGATGGGTTTCCGAGAACATTCACATTTGATACGAATCCATGACGACCATGCGCTCAGGTGCATTGGGGATTCGACTTCATCGCTATTTCTGCATGAGGGAATCTTGCAGGGATAGGATAGGATGAGCTTATGTTTGTGGAGTGATTGTGGCCACAAATCGTAGGAATTCAGTAAGAAATGACGTGTTTCCGGGTTGGTCACTACAAGGATGGATGATTTCCCCGCCTCGTGGTTCTAAGCAGGATGGGGATTCGGACGCTTGCGATGGCCCGCCACTTTCCCTTGCTCAGTCCTTCTGTCCTGAGAAAACAGGATCCACAGGACAAGCGAGGCCTTCGACCTGCCCATGCACAGAAATCATTCAGGTCTGCATCCTAAAATGGAACGCCTAGAAAAGCTCCGCTGTCTTCGATTTTCTGATACCTCCCTACATGATTCTGGGATTCCGCTGGTTGAAAGAATACGTGTTTTCGGCATTCGGTCTCTTCTAGGATCCGCGACTCTTTCTCACGGTTCTTGAGGCTGAGTGGTGCCCTGAGCGACTTGAAGAATCGCCACGGTATATGGGACTTGATCCCGGGTTTCTGAAAAAGGTCCTGCGTCAGAATTTTCTGTCAATCAAGGGGCGTAACGCGATTTGTCCGATTTCGAATCCGATTGACGGGGAAATTGCTATATGCATATTTCATTCAATGTTTTGTGTGACTGGGACAAATGAACGGAATGAAGTATGATTCAGGGCCCCTCATGTTTAACCTCCGACGGATCCTTCGATGCTATCGGTGAGGGAGATTGCAAGTGAGGAGTCGATCTCCCGCCCATGGAACATCGCTCTCTCTGAGCGCGAGGAGAAGTCTTTCAGCGATTCGGGCCGGAATTTCCCGCTCCGACGGCGACACCGCATTCTTCGGTGTTCTACCACATTCGGGAACAGTCTCTGGGATCGAGAAGATTCTTCGAGCTTGCGGCGATAGACATCAGACTTTCGCAGGATTGCGGATATCCACAGGTCACTCTCTGAGAGGGATTTCTCAGAAATAATCGTCAAGGTATTCCCCGTACCAGACGATTGTAGAAGATAGAGAGGAATCCCTGGGATTTCGATGGATTCCGGTTATGGGCCCAAGCCTGATAGAGATCCAGCGTTGAGGTATTCCGGCATAAAGCATGACTGTGGCGTCGAACGCCCAGCCGACCGATGGCCTTATTCGATGCCTAAGAACCTCGTGGGAGAAGTTTTAAGCACAGATTATTTCCGACCCTCTCACGCCACTCAGTTCCGAGGCTTCGGAATTGAGTAATTAACTTCCTTGGGACTGGAAAAATTTCAGGCCCGAGCTCGGATCACTCGCGTCACCTGCCTTGTGAGCCCATTCTCCTCTGACACGTGAAACAGCTCTAGATCGAATTCCGTAAGCTCGTTCAGTAACCCTCTAACTCTGCAGAGCTCGAGCCTTCAAACAGGATATCTCTTCTCCCGCCTCCGGGGGAATCGATCTCGCGCTTCATGCTGATCTCCTCGGAGTTTCTTGTCGGAGGAAAGGTCCTCCAGTGCTCGTTCTGGATCTACGGTCGCCGAGCTTGAAGCCCGGGGGGAAAATCCAGAATCAAACTCGTCTCTGGGAGATCGCTACTCTCCTCCGAGCTCGCACGACTTTTTGGATTTCTCCAACCATCATTAATGGGACTTACCGAAGTGTCACGAGACCCTCAGCCTTTTCAATGACGAGATCCTAGAGGGGGAGTCGTGTTTCTCGCTTTTCTTTTTCCCGCCTCCGGAATGCACCGCGGCCAGACCGAATCTGAGGGACTCGATGCTTGCATGATATCTCGTATTCTGCATATATTTTTACGTTCAAGCGCAGCTCTTCTTCATCAGTTTGACCCGAGTTATATAAATCTTCTCCCAGCCGTTCGAATGATAAGCGTGCGTTATCGCACGACCGACGGCTCTCCCTTGAACAGATTGCGTGTCAGAAGCGATCTGGTAATGATTCGCAAATCAGAAACTACCACAGAATTTTCTCGTAATCGTCTAGAATAGCTTCAGTGTTAACCGTGCTTGATATTGGACCTGTCGCTGCTATCAGTCTTCAGAATCGCAGGGTTGGAGCTGCGAAGATAGTACGATCTAGAAATAACGATGATCACCCTTCTCCTACATGTCATTGCATCCCTTTCGTTGGATTAATGCAGGACTCGAGAATACCGAGGCATACAAGGGTATCTATTCTTGAATCTCACACCAGTATAAAAACTCATCGAGATTAGAGCGGTGAAATCTTGTCTCGACTCCGGAACTTGGGCTGTTTTTCGGCCACTATCGGGCATGAGGAACTAGGTCAAGTATATGTATGTATTCCATTAATATTCTAGTAGAAGGGCAGTCTCTCGCATACGGGCTGTCTGCAATAAACGGGCAGGTTACGGAGGGTTGATGGAAGAGACGGGTGGTCTCTAGTTTTCTAATGGACGGGCGAGTTCTGGGGGGTCGGAAAATGGACAGGCATAGTTAGAATATTTATTCAACTTCAATTAGAATATTCACCGTTTCTATGCAATGACCTTAGCCCCCAATGCCGGAAACGCGCTCGCATCCATATATCCCCCAAGAGAAGGCTGAGAGCAGTCGTCCCCGCGTCCACTGCGCTAAGCTTGAAACTACGATTTCCGCAAGAAACTTGTGTTGATTGTTTTCTGGTTGACCTCGCCTTTGATTTGATTTCATTTGTTTAATTATTTCCGAGACATTTCCGGCAGTCGAGAAAATCCTGACCCAGGGCCGCACGGTATCATCACGATGCTACAGGGAAAGGGTGGGGAAATAGAGAATGACGCGACCAGGATGATTCGATCGAAATGACGTGTCCGAAATGATGAGAGAAAAAATTACGCGACTCCTCCACGGTTAAGCGACTGGTAGTCCCGTCACTGGGAGGCGAACTAGAACCTGCTGCCGGTGCCGTGGCGCCGCTCCGCGTCCCAACCAGAGTGGAGCCCATACAATACCGAACGCGAGACTCATATTCGACCGCTCATCGAGCTCGACCTTCTTCTTATAGGGCTCATCGAGTCGTGTACGCGCTGACTGTTGGAGAACCTGCGTCATTCTGGGCTCGCGTCTCTTCGGTAGCTTCATTTCGCCAGCGTATCTTAGATCACGTCATTCATCCGCGTAAACGGGGAAAGGTATGATCAAAATTCATCACAGGGAAGGTCGCGAGGACCTTCAGCGGGAAAATATGATTCCAACGCGGCTTCTGTGTCTCCCTCTTCGATCCTTATGGTCGAGTTTCGAAAGATTCCAGTTTTGCGCGGTTCGGGGCCTGGGGCGATGATTGCAGCTTATGGATTGAAATCGTCCGCTGCAAAAAGTTGCGTCGCTCGATGCAGAGAGCACCTCACGGCTCTTCGAATCGACCGAAAGTTCAGGAGCTCACACCTCATGATGATATTTAGGTAACTTACAATCAGTGCATATCGGTTTTCGTATACCGGCATACCCATGATGCAGGTGAGGTGATTTCTAGTTCCGCATTCGTCGTTGCCCTGCACCGTCTTTCAAGATCGCGGAGGATCTAACCTTCCTCCTCGGGCGCCTTCGTTCCTACACTCCGGAATTCGCCCACTTCTGTCTTCCGCTTGCGACCATGGAGTCTCATAGAGAGGATTATCGGTTCCGATAGGAGTCGACGAGAGTATCTATGCATTCGAGCCGCGAATATATAAAAAGAAGCACTAGAATCATTGCCTCCACTTCGGGATATTCTGGGGAACTAGCGGTGAGCCCTCAGCTCGTTCTGCCCCAAGGTCCGTTCCTTCTCACCGGGGTCGCTGACGATTCGAGCCTCACTGCGTTCAACGAACACTTGGACACCGCGCCGTGAGCGAGCGACTCGCGACTCATTTTGTGAGAGTTGAACCGCGTGTAGCAGTGCCGATTTATGATCGCCGCCAGCTTCCTGAACCGCTGAGGTCAGTACACTATAGGAAAAAATCAATCACCCATGTTATGGATCCGTCGTGTCGCATCGCAGGCTACTAGATTAGCGTCGGGACTCGGAAGGAGAGATTCGAGCTCATCCGCGTAGATTGTACATGCGTATCTTCTGGATGAATTATTGCCGGAGAGTGATAGCTCGACCACCTTCTCCACGAGGAGGATTGCCTCCCGGAAGTCTCTCGGCTACCCGATACTCTACATATATTGTCGCGCCGGCTTCATTCAAAAGGCAGGGGCTCTTGCTGCTCGCTAGTTTTAGAAGAGTTTTCTGATGCTTCCATCGACCGGGCATGCCCGCATCTTCCCCTCAGAAACGTAGTGATTCACTTTGCATCGTGTATCGGATCCGACCTCCTCAATTGCATAAGACTCGTGATGGAAACTCCCTCTGGCCGCGACGTGGATCTGGCCGTCAAAAATAGCTGGCAACCTTCTCTCTGATCGGAAGCGGTTCACAGCGACAGAAACAGTATTTCCAGCTTCTGACTCGTTGATGGAAAAGATGAGCTGGTCCGTGAGAAGAATCCGATTCTCAAGCGCGATCGAAGACAACTTTTCCAATGGAGTGCCCCGAACAGTCTTTTAAGTTCGATCTAAGCATAGTGAGACGGCTCTCGGTCTCGGGGCTCGAATCAGAATCGTTCAGGAGAGCGTGGCATTTCCGAAAAATGATTCTGCCGCGGGAACTTGTCAAATCTCACTTCATGAGTGCAGCGCTGGTGATGCTCCGGGGCTCAGTATCGTATCTCGTGCAAATAATGAAGTCTTGTGTTTCATGTCTCGAAATGTGTCGCTTTCGTGAAACGTCACCGCCGAAAGTAGCATAAAATAATGCAAATAGTGTTACATCTTGAGCGTGACTTTTGATCAGAGCCAGATGTCCTCACACTGACATTGTTTCATCATAGAATTGTGAAAATGTCTAGAGTCGCTCTTAGCTCGTAATGAACGTCGAACACCAATCCCTCCTCAGTTCTCCGCTGTTCCTCGGAGAGGCAGAATAACTGAAGGAGCGATTCCCGCGGGGATTTGCACATGGGGACTTGAGAGAAAAAAAGAAACCCCAACGTCAAAGAGATACCGGTTTGTTCAACCGGCTCTGATCCTGCACATAGGCAAAAAGAAGTCAGATTGTGAGGCAGATCATGGACGTTTTCCCCTACGACGCCGGCGTCCCTCGGGCGCATCGCTTCGATTGATTCTGTAAGTCGTCTGTACTAGTTCTAGGTACAATGAAGAATTTATCCTTCCGGTGTAATCCTTCACACCGGTCAGCTCGCAGAATTGGCATTGCGATTGTTCACAGAATCAGTCTACTTCGTCGAATCAAACTCGATCCCTGGTTTTCCCCGCTCGAGCGAATCGAACTGCTTTCTGAGCATCCAACTATCCAACAGGTGTTAATGTGGAAGTATGTCAAAGATTTGAATGTTCGAAGGTCAAGTGCTCCCACAACCAAGACAGATACATCCAGAAATAAGACTCAATTTTCTGGTGAGGCCGTATGTGGACCAGCTGAGGTCGAGGTTGAAAGACTTTTTCTTTAGATAGCATCCAATCCTGGGGAATACTCGATGGAAATAGGAACAGCTCGCGACTGACCTCCGTGATTTCGGAGGAGGGAAAAGGCCTCTCCGTCGAGTTCACGACTTTGAAATAAGAGACCGAGCGAGTTTCTTGTGAATCCGATGGAATGAAGCTTGTTAGCGCGAGCCTTGAAAATGAGTTCCATCGGACGCACCCTAGAAGATCAGGTCTCACCGGTCTTGCCTTCGCGGATAACTGTAGGAAGAATGATTCCGATTCAGGCTCGCTCTCGTCTCCGCATGATGTATCATCTTTAAACGAGGCCTGTTTCGCCTACCGAGTTCTCATGCTCAGTCAGAAGAGAGTTATCTGAATACGGGAACCCCTCGGCTGCATTCGTATGGAGAGTGACTCCGCCCCCCCCGGGGAATCTCTGCCGATGCATGGTGGACGCGGTCACACGGCCGAGTTAGCGTTCTTTCGTCCGTCTCAGACAGGATAATTGCTGATTTCATCCATCGGCCGCGAATGCATTCGATTTTCAGACTATGAGACCGGGGACGATTGTTTCCCGAGTCAACGAATGCTGCTCGAGCAAAAAGTTCTGGGATGATGTAACTCCCATCATTCTAGATTTGGCCGCTTGGGTTGCATCGAAGCGATGAGAATTTTCCCAAAAGGTCGAAATCACGTTAGATGCCTCTAAATAAAAAACGGATCAGAAGATCCTTGGATGGAGCGGGAATTCCTTCCGAAAGATTTTTACTCGACCTTCGTGTTCAGACCAACGGGCTAATCCTCGATAGGAATCTCCTCGTCGCCAATTCCAAAGGATCGGACAATCGGAGGCGAGGGAGAGGTCCCCGACTCCTCGAGCGAATCGTGATTGGCTCAGTAAGGCAGAGATATCAGGAACTCTCAGCTCAGAATGTCCGAGGAATGAATACCTACAATACGATCTCGCGAACCCATATCTCCTTGGCTCGAACCATCAATTGAACTTCGGAGAGGAATGCGGAATCTGTGGGTCGCGGTGGTGAAGGGGAAAGATATCATTTTGTTCGTCGCAATTCATGAGGGGAATTCCAAGAGCAACTGAAGTGGAAAGTTGAAAAGCGTGAATGCGTCTCACACGAAGCGAACCAGTCTTCAGCGGTCTGCGACACGCTACCAGAAATCGCAAAGTGAGCCTGCCGGTGGCTGGAACCTCTCCGCCTATTGGAACCTTTCCTCTTGCATATCATTGTTTCAAAGACGTTGGATCAAGTTCTTATTTTTGCGCAAGTTCCTCATGTCTTCAGAGACGAAAGGTCATTCGAGTTCCGGACCTGAGATGCGAGCATCAGGAGATTCAAGAGAGAAGTTCCCGCCGATTGGATCAAGAAACTCGGGAAAGTTCCCGGAAGCCCTTAAGCCTCCGCAAGCCAACCCAAGACTTTCCGAACAGTTGGGCATTCGGAGGCAGCGATCACCCCCAAAATATTTCTCGCCTCAAAGCATCTTCGTCTCCTTCCAGATGCGACGCTCATGGGTGATCATCGTTCATATCGCTCTCTGCTGTTCGCCGGATGTGTCTGGCAGAAATGAGTCCGAGTTCACTTTCACACTCGTCGGCGTTCCAGCAGCTCCCCACTTTGGGCCTGAAGTACCGACCCTCTTAGGTGAGCAGCCCTGTCTGTGTCGGTCGAGGCGAGGATTCCTCCTTATCTTCCTGGTTGTGGCTATCCCTCTTGGGGGAAGATGGAAGATTCAGAGACATGCCTGATCCGAAATCCTTAAAACTCATTTTCCCCGTAGGTGCCAACTTGACGTTGATAACGTCGCCGCGATACGATATATTCCGTTGGCTCCAGGGACCCAAACAAGTGAAGCTAATGAAATTCGTAAGTTTGTACCTCGTTTATCCCTGTTGCCTCTACGGCCTGTAGAACCTACTAATCCGGTTCCGTCTCGGTCCCGATGACGAACCGTAGCTCCGCGCTCGGAATCACCTGGCGGGTCTCGATCACAGGGCGAAAAGAAGTCCTCAGCTTCGGGACAGAGAGAAACTTGATTCAGACGAAGCTAACACTCTGAGCCGGGGGCATTCCGGCTGACAGTGAAGTTCGTCGGGGATCCAGGGCCACGATATCCGCTGAACATCTGGAGGAGCTTCGATATCGACATAGCGAGAATCGGGCAGAACTTCCCTTCCACACATAAATCGCTGTTCTTGCCAGTGAATGCCAGTCGTCCAAGACAAGGTTGAATAATACAATGCTAGGTCGACGGATTCCCGTCGTAGATGGCCCAAGATCAGATCCTCGAACTCGTCCTGAGCTTCGAATTCATCGACCCATGGAACCGCCGACGTTCCTGAGGCGTGAGCTGTCTGCGGGCCACAGTTAGAGCCGAGCTTGCCGGGAGGAGATTTTCAAGGATCGTGATGAACTGAGTTGATCGGAGTTCCAAGCAAGGTCCTCGCTCCCGATGAGCTCTGGGGCTCTTCAGCCGAGATAGGTAGCGCCTCGGTATCGGAAGGGCATGCGAACACGAGAGCAGAGGGAACATCGAGCTCCCTAGGGCCAGGGGGGCGCGTCGGCTCTCCGTTGAGGATCCGAAAATGAAAGAGTCGGGGAATTTTTCGCGACGGTAATGTTGCGGCTTGCGCTGACAGGATCGAGCGATCGCGGTCCGAGTCTGCGCGTTGGGGTAGGTGTAGTACTCTTGAAAAAACAAGGCGGAACGATCATCATGTCGATACAACTCGCTTGGACTCTGCGCGATGGATCACGACTCGCGGCTGCTCCCAGCTCAGGATCAGATTGCGAAAGGGGAAATTGACGGGAGCGCTGCGATGCGGGGAGAGTTCAGTGACCGAAAGGCTGTCTCTGGGTGAATTAATGATTTATATGAAAATTATCCTACGTGGCAGTGCACTTTTGCATGTACGATTACAGTCCGGAGGGCTGTCCCCATCTCATTCATTGGGAATTTTTTTGCATATTCTGTGGATCTGCAGGAAAGGCATCCGATCGTACGGACGAATTCGGGTACTGTTCGAGGTTTTCGCCAAGAGATTCTGGGAACTGAAATCGATACATTCCTCGGCATTCCCTTCGCAGAACCGCCCCTTGGTAGAAAAAGGTGATTGCTTGGAGAGAGCCGAGGATCTACAGATTTATCTTCCTTTCTATACCGAATAGCTATACCTCGTCGCATAGCAGATCGAATGTCGCTCTTCTCGGGCCTCTATGAATTGGGGCCTCTACTCCCGGAATCGTTACAGATTCCAACGTCCGTTCCGTTTGCGGCCATGGTCGGGAACGCTGGACGCGCTGGAGTATGGACACCCCTGCCAGCAGCTGAATTACACCGCCGGCTGGGAGTGGGTGTTCCCGAAGAAAGAGCAGAGTGAGGACTGCTTGACCCTGAACATCTGGACGCCGAGACCTAATTCGGTAGGATGTGCGCATCAGCGGACATCTTCGAGGTTTGTAATCATTATCGGATTGCAACGGTAGATAGGGAGAAACGAGTCGGAGCAAGACGACTCGGAGCTACTGAGTGAGACAGTAGCATATTTTATTACAAGAACTCGATAAGCGAAATCCGTCTACAGTTTTTGTGTTTGATGAGATCGAGATTAGCTTTGCCCCAGACGCGGAATGAATCTGGGGACTCTAGCTTTTGCATGTTGGTAAGCATACACGACAGCATGTATTCTCATGGATCTTCTCCGAGCGATTTCATGACAACTTGTTTGCTTGTCGTCTCAGCAAAACCGTTTGTCCGCTCAAAACTGTGCTCATCTTCATCTACGGTGGTGGGTTCAACATCGGTTCTTCCGACTGGGAGATTTACGATGGAAGAACACTCTCTGCCTACGGAGATATCGTCGTCGTGACGATGAATTATCGACTCGGTCCGCTTGGTTTCCTCAACGCAAACATCCGAGACGTCCCGGGAAACATGGGTCTGTACGATCAGCAAATGGCGATCAGGTTAGTCGAGCTGAGAGACAATGAAAAGAGCGGGGTGACTTCACGAATCGCCTCTCGACGGGAATAATTCTGAAGCCAAAAAAAGCACCACCGAGTCGCCAACGATTTCTTCACTCGGAGCAATCCATTAATGTACTATTATTAATGTAGATGGATATATGACAACATCAAAAACTTCGGAGGCGACCCGAAGAGCATAGTATTGATGGGAGAATCCGCGGGATCGGTGGCCGTCGGCCTCCATCTGATATCGCCGATGAGCAGGTAGGGACATCCTTCCCGGATACTTGTTACGATTTTTGTCACGGGTCTGGCCGGAATATGTTCCACGGCGATCGAAAATACCCCAAGGACGGGCCCCCAGTCACCCTGCTCGTGAACGCTTCGATTCCAGATACATGATACGCCGTGCGATCATGCACTCGGGCAGCCCTCTATGGGACACTCCCGACAACACCATCGATGGCCCGAAGAAAGCTAACGAATTCGCCGAAATTTTCGGCTGCACGAATCGATCCGTGACATTTGAAAGTGACAAAAACACCGTTCTGGATTGCTTATCAAGAATCGACGCGGCTGAATTGAACGCGAAATCGCTCGAGGTAAAATATCTTGCGTGACCTTAGCAATCGTCGATTGATGCGGTGGGGAAACTAAGGAAAAATCAAAAATAGTCGGTTCTGAATAACAGTAAACGTGTTCCCGTAATTGAGTGAGACTTGACCAACCTTCTCATTTGCGACAAGGAACTCCCGCGTATAGCAATTCGAAGGGAAAAGCTGCGAAAACAGGATGTCGCGACATTGTCTTTCAGCTTTTAGCTTCCCTCGCAACAGCATCTTTCGGAACATCTATCGAGAGCGTTGAGATTCGATGAGGAATAAAATCTGAGGACACTTGGGAGGATAATTCGTAAGGGTCCGGAACGCCTCCTGAAACCCGGTCAAGACTTGTGAACTCCCTGTCGATCTCTCGCCGGAATTCACCTCGAACTTTCGAGCGGAATGGACCAAGTCGTTCCGATTTCCTCCGCGTATCTTGTGACTCTGTCCATTTTGTCCGTTGAGCAGCTTCGCCTTCCGAGGTCTCATCTAAGCCGTGCCTGACTGAAATGAGCTCCCAGAATGATTGATGGAACGCTTCTTGAAATCTCCCCGGCGAATCCACGCCGAGCTTCTCAGCGAGTCGCTTTTGGAGGGGATAATCAAGGGACAGTTTGGCGATTTCACTGATAGAAGACACTGTCGCTCGCACGGCTTCTAGCAAGCGCTCTCTCTCCGTCGCGGATCTCGTCACTTTCCGTTTCGACCTGACAGTGCTCATTTCTGACCCTCTGTCGAACAATCGAAGCTTCCGTATGTTCGACCACATGAGACGTTTCGACGAGGCGCGCCCTGCCCACACACTCTGTGTGAAATCCACGTTTCTTCAGTACCAGCGACGCCCGCGCTTCTTCAGGAAGCGGCGAGCTCGATATTCGCCGATTCGCTCGATATCCAGCGCGCATTGAATGAAGTATAAAATTATTCAATCCCCAGATCCTGGGCAAACGAGTGCTGACCTATCACCCGAGATGGGGAGACCAGTTTCTGCCGTTGCGGCCGAAAGACGCCATGCGACAGGTAGGGCACCGTGAACCGATGATAATCAATCATCGAAGGGAAGGGTTGAACGAACATCGTAGTGAGAACTACGGAGATCCACGGAGACATCGATGCTCTTCGCATATAATGTGTATTACGTGTCGTATGATGTTATGATATGAACACGCCTCCATTGAGCATGAGAGAGGCAACGGAATGATCATAACTCTCTTTAGTTTTAGAGATAATCAGCTCATTATCCTCATTCGTCTTATTTCCGCAGGGTTTCTTCCGCGACGTCGAAGTCTTCATGGGAGTGAATCGGGATGAAGGATCCATATTCTTGGCCAATACCCTGCCAGAAATTTTCATGAAAGGACCGCTGCCGAACATAACCAGGGACGAGGCATCCCTGTACATGGTTTTTTTCTTCCAGTACATCTTGAGGTAGTTGCGAATCTCGCGCTTCGCTTCGCTGCTGAGGGGGTGAGCGGGGGAGCGCGCCGCTATCTTACCATGACTTGTCTTTTTCCAGATCGGGGACTCGAGACATCCGAGATCACTATTTCAGCAAGTTCGAGAACAACGACTTCGGAGGAGTGAGACAAGCTTTCATCGATGCCATCGGCGACTACCTCCAAATTTGTCCTACGGTTTACTTCGGAGAGTATATGGCCGAATACGCAAACAATGTCTTCTTTTACCTCTTCAACCATCGTCCCAGCAATTCCTACTGGGATGAATGGCTCGGTCAGTCTAGAGATGGAAGTAAACAAGCAAACAAATTATTCTCGCCTCCAGAAAACTGCGGCCCCATGAACCAAGGTCGCAGAGTCAGCCGACAGTAGAGCTTAATGAAGGAACGCTCATCTTGCAGGCGTGGCTCACTTCGACGAAATTCAGTTCGTCTTCGGAATGCCTCTGCGGTACCCGGACCAGTTCACGAAGGATGAAATTGAGCTCTCGAAAAAAATGATGAAAATCTGGATATCATTCATGAAAAACGGGTGAGTGGCGAGTTTCTGTCCATAGTCATCGCCGGATATACCGACGAGATATGGAATGGATTTGCAGACTCAATGGCATGCGAAGGTTGAATATTATCGAGCCCAGGACGAAAATCGCGGAGAGCTCTCGAAATCAAGCAAATCGTTCCGAGGAATCTTCTAGAAGGATTGCCGGACCTACGCGGGCCCTGTTTATCTAGTCTCCGATTAATTTTGCGTTCTGATGGCCGACCATTTCCGAATTCCCGACGCGAGCTCACTTCAACTGAGCCACATTTCAGCAATAGTTGACCGACTCGGAGGCGATTTCTGCTGCGAAAAGAAGTGAATTAGCGCATGAGTCCAGCACAATCAAATTCAGGCATCGACGGTCCAAATGCTAATGATTTTCTATTACAGAACTCCATCGCTGACCAACGGCCGCGAATGGCCTCGCTATCGACTGGATAAACCATTATATATTCGCCTCGATACCGGCCCAACGACAGAAGAGAGAGGGCCCCATCACGAGAATTGCGAATTCTTCAAGAAGTATATCCTCCGCTGAATTTTCGGAAGCCTTCGGAAATACCAACTGCGGTTTTTGCCAGATTTTGCGGGGAGCCGTGAGGTCTGGGAAGGTCCCCGGAGAATAAGCGGAAGATTTCCGGAAAAACGTACCCCCTCTGATTTAGGTCCAGCGTAGTAACGCAATCCTTCAGTGACCAACCGGAGAGACTTACAAATAGAGGTGAAACGGCTCGCCCTGGTGACAAGCTGTAGAGGCTTCAATGTGCTCCCAACCTGTGATACTCCATTGTCCACCTCATCCTCGGGCGTCCCGATCCCGGATGTCCCGGGAATCAGCTGGCTGGTATTTTTTCTAAAATGGGCGGCTCGCTCCTCGCGAGAAATGCTTTGAGAGACGTTGTCTTGTATAGGGTGATAATCGCGGGACGACACCCACTTAGGCTGATTCCCTCGGGGGAACATCAATGATGGAAAACTCCAAAGGGAGACAAATAGGTAAAGCAATAATTTAGGATGTTCTGCGATATTCTCAGAGCTCAATAAACTCGTAAGGTTGCGGGAGAATCGCCGAGTTCCTAGGCTCGTTTATCGCTCCAACGCGCTATCCGATGGGACAGCGCAGAATATTATAGTGATGCGTCCCACACCAATGGGTTGTGAGTTGAGGGTAACAATCTGCAATTCCGTGCAGCGGACAGGCTTGTGTTTTTGAGCGTGGGGTACCGATTCGACAGCTGCCTCGACTCTACCGGTCAGTTTCAGTCTCACGTGGCTTGTCCAGTCCGTCGCGGACCGCTTGGACGCGTATTCTATCTGCGGCAACAAGGAGAACTAGCTTCACTTGACATGATCATTCGATGAAAAGCCTCCAAGCGAGAAGGACGCCTCTTGACCGTCATAATTGTGCGAAACCCAGAGTTTACGCGTTTGCTCATTGTCCAACTCAGGACTTTCGTGTGAATTGACCGATACATCCTTGATTACGTTGACACTTGGGACCAGAAGTCATGTAAGACACCGACGGAGATCAAACGACGGAGATCTCTGCTGGCCGCGTTGATCCGGAGATGAGCTTTTCTCGATGCCCACATCCCGCTACGAAGGGACTCTTCACTGGAAATGAGCCTCATCGCGGCATAGCTCTTCTTTGCGAGTATGGACAAACTCCTGCGTCGGGCTCTCTGTCTTCCTGTAGGAGTGAGGGAGCCAGCATCGCGACTCGAGAAATCGGCTCAAAATGTGCAGCTGAACTCTGCGAAAATTGCTCCCCGGGTTCTCGCAGGGGTCGGGAATTCTCAGGGATAAATATTTTGCCGGTATGTGGCGGTTCCCCTACGCGCGGAGCATTTCGCCGAAAAGGAGGATCTCCTGGCTAATCGGCATCAGGTGGCATTCGCGACTGACTGTATCAAGCACCTGTCTCGGGATGGAGACGAAATCGAAGTGAACTTGAACCCCAGATGTCGCGCAGATCTGCCGTGAGGTCACGGAAGGCGTCTGATAAACTGCCGATAAACTGAGATTCGCCGCGTAAATATTGGTTCTGATTCTAGAATGAGGCGGAATAGCTCTCAACCGGTGTATGGTGCATCGAACTCTCTACAGCGAAGTTCCAGTACTGGCAATACTGCGGAGGAAGACGATCGAAATAGGAATTCTGAAGCTTAGGAAGGTGATGACCACGATTTATTCAATCAAGATTTACATCTAAGTAATATTCCATGTTTGACTTCGTGATCGCATCTTAAGATTATTGTTATCATGGTTTTTCTTCATTCATTCCGTGATTCGGCGAGTCGCCTCGCGTAGAAAGAATATGCACAACTCATTATCAGATACTTGGCTTCAGATTCATCGCTCCTGATTTCTTGATAGTTTCTCGAAGTAGCTTCCGAATTCTTTCCGATCTAATTTTCTTTCGCTCATGGATCCCTCGACTGGTATAGTAATTGCATATGACACCGGGTTACAAGAATCTAGTAATGATCCCCATCTATGAGGGATCACGAAAAATAAACTTCAGAAAGTCTCACGGCTTCCATGAGGAAGCAGAGGAGCAATCCGGGAGAAATGAAAGAAATGGCTCGACGATGACGTCGGACATACCTCGTCTCTCGAATCGCTCCAATCGAAACTAGTGGTACGGATTGGCGACACTTCAATTTTTGGCGTTTATTTGAAAATTATCGAATATAATAGACTTTATGCTGACTGATGATCTCAAAGTACTTATTGTTGAATATCTTGCTTTGCTGTGTTTGCTCTCGCTGTAATAGTTGCTGCTGTATACGCTGTCGCTGGGGACTCCTACTTCGCCTGCTTCTCTTCCTGGATCATCTCGGCGGTTGGAAGCACGTTCTTCTCCGCCGTTTCCGTGTGCTTAAGTTGCGACGCATCGAAGTTCTGGATCCCCGAGACCATCTGATTGTGTCCCTTCTCAGCTTCGATGTCTGGAAAGAAGATAAGGTCGTCAAGTCCAGGTTTTGACGGAGTACGTGCTATTCTCATGGAGATTCACAGCCGATATACGCTCGAAATACTGTCGGAAGTAGTACTGTGCACTACTGGATAATCGCTGCGGGCTCGCACTCAGGGAATTGCCCGATATCCTAGCGGTGTTTGAGGCATCGAGACCTACGCGCTCAACGCATGGACGTCGAACGAAAATTCTTGGGGTCGTTCCCTCAGGTATCTTGAGGGTACGTGAAGAAGCGTTCGCGACTTCTCATACAAGCTACTTTTCGAAAGAGTCCCCGGAGGAGGGTTCCAAAATCTGATTCAGCAAGTATTTTTGGATGTCATCGCCTGAGAGATCTTTTGTCCCGCTGAATTCTGATGGCGACAATGTCTGTTCCTCCCTCCGTACATGGACAAGCACATTTTGCCCCAAGAGAATATGTAGTGAAACTGTGAAATTTCCCCTAAAACCCCATTCCTGTTTCTCTGCACGCGTCATGGTCGAAAGCGTCAAGAGTATGGTAAGAGAGAATTGGATTAGGGAAGTCAAAATCTGCGTACGTTAAACGTTTTCTCCCAGTGGCTACTCGTAGTCCGCGGTGAAGGCGATCATCCTGCTCCAGCGAGCTAGCGCATTTTTCCCCTGATCGAACTAACCTTCTCTAGTCGGCACGTAAATTTTTTCTTTGGTCACCGTTGGCCGCAATTTTGCCTTTGTGAATCCTTGGATTCCTGTCACAAGTTCTTGCTGAACTTCCCAGGGTCGGCCTGCCATTCCGGTACTATGAGAGCAAGAACTTTCCCAGCAAGAGATAACAACACGTCGAGAGCAACACTCCACCAGCGATGGTTTTCCTAAACAGTCAGGCAGCAATACGCTTCTACTGAGGACGAGCGCAGAGCTGGTGGCCGGCGCGAGTTCAGGCTCTGACTCCGACGATGTTGTCGGCAACGACGATGGCGGCGGCTACTTCTACGACGACGACCTGGATGGCATCGCTGGCGAGCAGGGAAACGCTATGTAGTTTCCGGAGACCAAGCCGAGAGGCAGGCGGGCTGGCAGACTCAGCAGCGGCAGTAGCGGCGGCGGCATAGGTTGCTGAGCTGATTCAAGCGATGGCTGGGGCTTTTCGCGAAGGCCTCGCGCAACACCCGCGCTCATTCCGCTCTCACCAAAAACAGGCCAACCTACTGGAAGATGAGTTTTGACTGGCACGTATCTCGACCGTCTCGCGGTTCAGACTCTCCGTGTGTTCTGCTATGTTCCCGACTAACTGGAGAGCCTAAGCACTCTAACGTCGTCCTCTGACAGACACGTCATCGGCTTTTTCACGCCGGAGGCCTTCACGAGATCTAGTCACCCGAACGCGTCGCTCGATCACGATGACCGAGGCTCTCAGAGGCTCGGTTTTCAATTCAGATCATCGCCGTATTCAATGGTTCCCGTTCCTCATCATTTCGGCAAGGCGCGATCGGTCCTCCTAGGAGTTGCGGATCGAGCGAACTTGCGTTGAGGCATGAGCAGTACGCTTAGAGACTCGAATCCAGCTACAAAAATTGTCAAGGGGAATAATCAGACACATAATCAAGCTGGGATGATGATTCATACTCCTTATCGACGAAGAAGAATCTAGAAATCGGAAAAGTCGGTTTCTAGCTGCCGGCGAATCAGCCCTGCGAGACTCTGGGGGCTCGACAAACTTGCGGCGGATGTATCGGAAGAATTTCATCGAAGCTCAATAGGACGGGGGTAATTTGAGGAAACCTTCGGGAATTCCCGAGTCTTCTTCCCGCGTCCTCAGATACGATTTCTCGAGCCCGACCGGCGAATGAGCTCTCCGAAGTTCGAGTTTGGACATCGAGCTGATTAGGCTGATTTCCCAAGCATGGTGACGAAAAAGTCCAAGCCGATAAGTGTTTTTGGTATGCGGAAATCGTGATTGCAGCTATCCCAATTGTCGACGTCGCGACGCTATTGTTTGAAGCGCAGCCAGGGAAACTACCGCAACGCGTTCGTAAGTGACGACAGCGCCTCCATCAGATGGAGTCCAGGGTGAATAAGAGCGAAGCGGTTGCTCCCGTTCCGCTCGACGCCACCAGCTGAGTCGGATAATGGCACGATGATTTCGATTATACCACTGGTGAACAAACAACTCGTCATGGTTTCTCTCGCAGACTTCCACACTCGACCAGCTGAATGAATCATCCTCACTCAAAGGCGTGAAAGAGCTATTCACCGATGTTTCGATTACGGAGACATCGTTGAGCGCCTCGAATTTCAACAGAACGATGTTTTCACCCTATTGATCCGTAGACTATTTGGCATTGGCGCGATTGATACCGAATCCGCCTGGATAACTCACTCGAATGCTCAAGCCCGTGGGAGACGCTATGTTCCGTTTTTCAGTTCATGAACGCAATTTCTAAATTTAAGTCAGTAGAAAACAGAGCAGTGAGCAACTTATAAGGGCATTGTCCTCGGCTGTTCGCCGAGACACTGGCCGGCGGCTCTTTGCCGTGAGTCGGCCACTCAGTCGTCGGGTCAATCATCAGCTCCAGAACGGCGACGGCCGCCACACCAGAAACAACAAAGCTTGGGCCTTCTCCTCTGAAGTTATTCAAGTCGGAGGAGCATGACTCAGCGAGGAGCCCCGTCATGGCCGTCTGAATAGAGCGCTACTGGTTCGAACCCTTCACCGGAGTCATAACGTCTCCCGAGGAGCAGTCCCAGGTGTCACTGCTCGGGATAATTTTTGTTTCTGTTCCGCCGACGGCTCCGCTCCTCTCTGTGCTGCGGAGCTTGTTCTTGAACAATCGCAATCGAGCAAGAAACTGGATGTGACGAGCAGAATACTGGACGTCAGCCTCCCCGATGAGCATCCAGAACTCGGAACGGGAGAAACGACACGGCACACTAACTCACTTTCTTTCGTTGGCAGAACATTTTTCTCCTGAGTTTCGGCGTGTTTGAGTTGTGCTTGATCGAAACCCTCAACTCCTTTGATGAGTCCCTGGTGGGTTTTCTCGGTGGCCACGTCTACGATAAAGATTGGGCTTAGCATATCGGACGTGGGTGACGGATTGAGGGGAACTTCATGGGGGCCACGGAAAGAAGCTTCCAAGGAGGACGCGTCTCGTGAACGTCACCCTAACTCACCCTCCTTCGAAGGAAGGACTATCTTCTCCTTAGTTTCACAGGCCTTCAATTTGTCCTGCGAAAAGTTGGCGAGCTCATCCTTGATCTCGACGGGAACTTTCGGCAGATCTTGAGCAGACATATTGGACGGAGAACCTGGAAGAAGAAATATGCGGACTGATAACTTGAGCTCCGGTTCGGTGTTCCGAAGAAGGTCTCTGATCGAACTGGGGAACCCCCACAACGCCGACTTGCTCTCGGAATACGCGAGGAACAGGTGGAAGTGAATGCCGGATGAATGAGCCCACGCGTCATCGCTTCAAGAGGCGCTCCCGTCTGGACTTTCGGGACCCTATTTTCGCTGACTGCTCGGCGAATCCAGGGAACCGGGGCCCGAGGGGAAGAAAAACGACTAGCAGCCAAGCTCCGGCGCCTGTTTGTTTCGTCTGTCTGACTTTCGGTGCTTGAAGCGGCCGCCGCTTTTTCCGGTTCAATAAACTAAAACGGGCGAGGTGAATTCTGATCTTGAAAACGGAGTAATTTCTACTCTTCACGCCCGCCACGAGGAAGAGAGCTACAAGAATCCAAATTTTCCCTGCTGGCGAAACAAGTGGCGGGACAGCGTTCGCAAAAAAAGACCCGTGCGTGATCGTTAACAGCGTTCATCTCTGGAGCAGCGAGATCTACAAGAAAGCTTGGCTCAATTACCGTCCGTGCCGACGAATCCGATCTCGCGGCACAGTGTCGGAACTTGGCCACCTTGGGGAAGAGTGCCGTGCACAAGACGAGGAACGAATGCTGTTCTCGATTGAAACCTCGAGATCCAACTTTTGGACATGCGCTCGCTCAACAGAAGCATGGGCCTGCCTCGACACGCGGAGCCGGTGCTCGCGAGCCGGAGCCATTTGTCAGCTGCTTGTTTCCCCTATGGTAGATCTACCTGTACGACCTCGTGACGAAGCGCTCTCCCTACGGAAGCCCGCCGAACTCATACTATTTGCCGAGCGCTGGCCTTCTAACCCGAGTTTTGCGGCAATTTCTGAGCGGACCTCTCCCGATCGACGCTCTTAAGGATCGGTGTATACACTTGAGGTCGCTCAGTCTGTCGTCAGCCCTGCAGAGGAGGTGAGTCATAGTTCGTCGGGAGCAGCGTTATTCACTCCTTATATGGATGAAGCAGTTCCGCTCGTTTGACTGGCTGCTTGGATAGCTACCACTGGCTGGCAGACCAACCGACCGACCGACGCACAGACGGACAGACCGACTGGTTGGCAGCGGACCGATTGACTAGCCGGTCGTCCGTTCGGTCTCCGACCGCTTCCACATTTCATAGTGGTCCTGTTGTTGCCGCCATTGCCGCCCGCCGCCACCACCGCCACATCCGTCTCAACCGGTACCGGTAAATACTTGCTCGATATACGGCCGAGAAATCACTCCAATGACTCAAGTAGCGTTCTCGAACAAGTGGACTTCGGGCATTCCTCGGGCTGTGGGATCGAGAGAGCTTCTTTCTGGCGTGCGGGAACAATCACGCGACAGAAGTCATTCCACGCCCAATTGAATTCATGGCCCGGAACGCTTAAGGGGCGTTGTATCAGAGCCTGAAGTTCAAGACAAGATTGCGAAGTGCACATCGATGTGAACCTTTCCGCTCCGCCATGAAGAGCGAGGAGCCTGCCCTAATGGAATGCTCTGTGAGCCGAACCTTTCTTGCGACGAGACGTGGAGGTATCACTGTTCGGCTGTGCGACTTTAAAAATATTCCGCTGATCCGGCCGAGGTGCGAGCGAACAAACCGCCACCTACCACGGGAATCTGACCTCTATAGCTCCAGACTGTTTTTCGCAGCCTTTGAAGAAAGCTGGGTCACCGAAACTCAGAACGGATTCAGACTTCGGAGAAATGACGCTTTCCAACCGAAACGGATAAACCGCATTGGCTACTCTCGGTGAGACATTGAGCAGTGTCAGGAGCGACGGCAGAGCGGATATCGAAACGGTCCCCGATCGGTAACTTTTACCAAGAACCCAGGGCCTCGTTCGCTCGCTGCCCGAAGAGCCTCGCTGCTTGCTCTGAGCGACTCGCGTCTCGCGCGAAACTCTGGAATCTCCCGAATAAGATGAAAGAAGCTGCATCGAAATCATCATTCGATACGTCTCGGGTAGGGAGTGACAAGTACAGCTGAAGCTCTATCCGCCCCGACGAAACCTTCTCGGAAGGTACTTCGGAAGTCAGTGACTCAACGATGTGCGTGGAATTCGAGAGACGCGACACAGTGACGACGTAGTAGTTTCTTTCTTTCCAGCGGCTGTCGGCACACCCGTCGATTTTGGACGGATTCGTTTTTCAAACATTCCCTAAACTGACTTGGGCATTATCGCATCGGCTGTGATTGCCTCTACGCCAGCACAGTACCCAGAATTCACAAGAGTTGATCCCTGTAAACTCGATTCAGCCGGAATCAAGAAGTTTACGGCTCGAGAATCCCCTATTCCCGTCATCTGGGCGATGATTACGTGCTCTCGGCAGGGTCTGTCAGGAACATCGGGGAAAGCAGGCGTAGCAGCCTGTTAGACGGTCAACTCGGCTGTTTGCGACCGACTACTGAGCAGCTAGCGGCTGTCAGCTGAAAACGAACGCTTTCGCGGCGCGTTCGAAACGTAGCGTAACAAAATCGAAGAGAGTTATAAACTATTTCCAAAGTCCGAACTCAGAAGCTCCGGAGTCCGGAGAAAACTGCGCAGTCGTCTCTCTCTCGCGGAGGATGAGCCCAGCCGTCCCTCGTTCATGACGAGGCAAGCCACCCCACCCAATCGGATGACTAGGAGACTTACCTCAGGTGATGTTCCGCACAAAAGATGGAGAATCGCTCACGGTACTTGAGGGAAACTTTCAAAGTCGAGGAAACTACGTCCCGAATAACGTCTTGTTGCTCCGGTACAGCTTCGACTGGAGTTCACTCTGAAGCTTCCGGGCTCGTAGTGTGGAGTGGCAATGGATGCGATGGCAGCAGCAACAGAGCTAGCCAGCCGTTGGGATGGCCGATTCCTTGTTCAACTGACGCTTCGGTCCTCGCCCCTGTTTTAAGTAGGGTGGCTCGAATCCATTCCCATCGCAGCGACTTTCGTAGAAAACCAAGAGGGTGGCGCGGAATTACCGTTGACACTCCCTTGGTTTCCGAATAGATTCCTCTTCAGTGACGAGGCGGCGCGTGACAGCTGCGGAATACGTATGCGATTCCACAGATGTCACGGCCGTTTACCGGTCGGATCGCACTGACCGTTTTCTTCGGCAACGGATCATCAGAGTACTTGACGCTCTGACGTGTCGCGCTCGTGCGTCCGAGAAAAAAATATGGTACTTCAAGCCGTTTCTTGGCCAGTTTGGGTGCCTATATCTCTTCTTCCGCTCTCATTCTGGGAAAAGTTTCCATGCCGAATCGCTTCCCGGCGATGAGCTCTTCCTTTCGTCGTACCTCTCCCGAGTTGTGATATGGAGGTCTGTGCACGTCAAACATTTCTTCCGATAGGGCTTCCTCCGAACGCACGATCGTAGGATGTGTGACAATCAAGCCTCGAGGCTTCTCGCTCCCTTAGTTGGAAGAATCGAACATTGTTTATACCGATCTTCAGTGTTTTAGTCTCTCAAGTGTATGTCTCGACGACCGTCTAGGCCGAACTGACGGTTTGTGCTTCAAGCTCGATATCCGGCCGCTCATTTAGAAGCGGTACGTAATGAGCAGCTGCCTCGACTCGTCACTGGATTCTGATTCACAGTTAAGCTTGAACATAAACTGACGGAGCATCGCTGTTCAACTTGTTGATTCCACAGAGTTCGTTCGCTTCCCTCAAGTCAAGACCGAACGACGACATGTTGTGGATATATCGTGGCACCGAGCCCTGCTTGAAAATGACTCATATTGAGCGCCAGGCTTTCTGACACGTCATGACCATGACATCTGAGAATCTTCCAGTGGATTCTATTTCCCCGCACATTCAAACTTTTCTTTCATTCCGCTCCTCGGGATCAGCTTTTCGCGTTTCCTCCACATCGCAAATAGTTTTCCCCAACGGATTACTTGTCCTTCTTCCAATTATATGTACTCCCAGATATGCTCTGGAATAGCTTCCTTAGGTCGATTATGAGCGTTAGATTCGCAGGCGTAAAGAACACATTCTTCCCGCACCCGGATAGAAGGGCAAACTCGCTTCACGCCTGCTTCTTCGGTGCACGTTGGAGAACTGCCTTCGGCAAGTCGGCTGGGAGCGAAACGCATTGAACAGGCGCGGAAACTTCCTCGTGACTCGAGGCGCGATCTTCCTAGCAAGCTCTGTCTTTCGAGTTCGAGAATTCGGAAAAGCTCCCTCGAAACAGGAGCAAGAGAAGCCGTAAACTCGCTCTGAAAATACCTCGATCCCAAATGAAATTCTCGGCATCTTCGAGCGATCCTGCTGAGACTCTCATCTTCATGAATATGATCTCCGTAATAAAAAATATCTGTCCCCCTTCATTCGGCAGCACAGGTAGGTTCAAGATACCGGCTCGCGTTTTTAATCAGGTGTCGACGAGTACTCGCGGGGAATGTCCTGCGGATTTGACGAAATCTCCCGAATTATCCATTGCGGAAAAAAACCGCCGTCAAGCGCGGCCGAGCGTGGGATTTTGCTTTGGGGACTTGGATGATACTACAGTTCCGGTTTTCTCCGAAGCGGTCTCGTGTTTGGAGATTCATCGCGTCGACCGCAAAGACGTAGAAAATCGAATAATGCCTTATGCTCAAAGGAAGCCTCGGGCCACGTACGAGACTGAATCAAGTCGTGGTTGCACAATTTCTTCTTTTCGGCCGAGGGGTCGAATTTAATGATGAGGCTCTCCTCCTTCAAATCTAGAGATGCGAATGAACTTTGATTCCGTCTCATCGTTTTCAGGTCGTGTCATCAGACTTAGGACATCGCGCTTACTGTGATGTATCGCGAGCTCGGTGACCCAAGATCACAATGGTCGAGATACACTTCACTACCCGCGATTGTTCATGCAGTCGCTAGGGCGTTTGATGTCGTCTTCGAAGTTTAAGATGACGACGCGATTCATTACCGACTGTGCAGCTGAGAGATCCCTAACAGAATGAATTAAAATTCGATCCACGGGTCCATGACGAGGGTCTCGGACGATCCTCCGGCTTTTCCACCGATAATGCTGAGTCTCTCTCAGTTAGAGACTGTACATGGATGATCGAGTATCCGACGCGTACCCATCCGAAAGCGTCGCTTCGCAACGCTCAACACGTAAAGTCGACTGACATGGTATCGTCTGTGGGTCAGAGAAATCTCCGCTGAGCCTGCCCAATACGCGACGGGAGTCAAATGTGTTTATTCTCATATCTGACTCCTCCGAATGCGCCCAGACCCTCATGTCCATTACTTGTTGACTTTCTGTGGGATCCCGCAGAGCCGTGTCGGTGAGAGTGATTTCCACTCTCGACGTCAACTTCCAGGGACCGCAGACTGCCAGTCTTGCAAGGCTGAGCAGATAGGCTGCGCCGCGCCGTTGGCTTTGGCCGCAGAGTCGGAGATCGAAGTTCATGGAAGATGGAGCCACTCGGGGTTCTCGGATGGAGCGCATAATCCGTCCACAGTGACTCTGATGCTCAATCAGAGCTTCACGCACGGAATTAATGTTTTCCAGAAGATCATTTCTAGATCGATAAATTCGCGAATCGATACCACAGGGAGTTCAATGAGGGAAGCGATCCATTCCGAGCAGGAAAAGACCATCCTCGGAATCTCTGCTACTCACACGAGGCTGAATCAATCCGAGGCTCCTCGATTCGACGTCGGGCATGCGGGGAATTCTCGGGAGAAGATCTCTCCAGCAGATTCCGATATGACCAATGAAGCTACAGTCACGAATCGGAGGAGGTCAAAGATACTGCAGACATGCGGATCTTGTCTCCCGAAGACCATCACTCGATAAGTTCATACCACCGATTCCGCCGTTGTCAATGTGAACCTTCCGAGGGTCCACGGAGCGGCGGTGCTCGGATCCTCGTAGGAACTGATGCCTGGCGGCTAGGGAGGGGGGGTCAAGGGGGCTGCGTGTTTGGGGATGGACGGTGAAACACTTTCGCTGAGGTTCCGATCGCTGTATGAGATGGGACGGGATCGGAGAATCCCTCCGTCGGACTCGAAAGGCCGTCCCTGTCTTTCCTATCCCTCCTACTAATGAAGCGCGACTGTCCGTGCTCAAAAAATTCCTCAGAAGCTCTTGATCTGATAATAATCAGCGAGGAATTCACATTTGCCCTGGTATCATACAATACGACAGCGGGAGGGATGCTCGATCATAACGCATGGAACAGGACCCGGTTCTCTACCTGCGGGTCTTAAGACCCCGGAGAGAGAGGAGCGATTCAAGCAGCACTGCCCTTCCAGCGTCAGAGACCGCTCTTGAAGACATGGTTACCCCGATAATGTCACGATCGCCTCCCGAGCAGTTAGGGTTCACCCACTAATGGCAAGGTAAATGAGGAATCGGAGCAACGCTCTTCTTTTCTCTTACTCTAACCATAAAATACGTGCATGACCGATCCGTCTCACACCCTTCCGCTACCTACTTAGCACTTTAGAAAGACTCTTCACTGACCGAGCTTCCCTCCCGTTCCGCTTCTCCCTCTCGGGAAACCCATGAAAACTCCCACGACTGCATGGAAGAAACGTCAACCTCTGTTTTCCGATAGAATTTATTCGTGTCGCTATCAAAAACATCGACAACAACTGCCTGTGCAGGGAATCCGATCAGGGCTCACAATATTAATGATGATATTTTTGCCACGGTCTATGTACAATGCTCCCAACTAGGAGAGGTTCGGTCCGCGTCTAGCTGTCCTTCTGTTCCTTTGAGGATATGTCGTTGGTTATCTCCGATTTTTTCACTACGCTTCTACTTAATGCTTCCATCGAGCACGAAAGCGACCGATGGGTCGGTTTTCGATCCCTTAGCTCTCGCATTTCCGACTTGCGGAAGTTTGGCACTTGTGGCACAGAGCTTGAACTGATAACTCCACAAGGAAGATGGGAACCCTCAGGAAGATTCACCGAAAGACTGAAGAAGTTCGAAGGAGCAATAGTGGGATCTGACGAGGGGTGTGATAGGAAAGGGAATGGACGACTTCTCAGTATCACGACTAATATACTTGAACGATCGTCGAAGGTATATATGGGGCATGCGGATAATAAATATATGTTCAATCGAGACCCCGTCGAAGAATTAAGAAATCAGACCGGATTCGAAGAATTGCGAAAGCATCCGCGACTCGAGCGAGCTTCTGAAGACGAAATACGAGTGGCTTCTGAGCTTGAGAGCGGATGCGCTCCCGGAATATCCGGGAGCGAGGGGAATTCTTCGTAATGGAAACAAAAAACTCCGTTGATTCGACGCTCGAGCCAGAGCTGACTTTCGCTGCCAGAGGGACGAGCGCGCTTGTTGCGGAAAGGTATAGGCTGAAGAGCGAAGCGAATCAAGATTCCCTTAGGGAATGAGAAGGAGGAGAGAATGGGACGGCAGAATCCAGGTTGAACCGGTGTGCGGATGAGAAGTAGAGAGCAGAGTGAGGAGGATGAGATTATAGGGAGGGATAGAGAGGAGAATGAAAGAGAAGGAGGCTCGGGTGGAATTCAGACAGTCTCGAATTCAAGAGGAAGGTGTTCGGCATCTGAACGAAGTGAAGGCAGAAAAACGGCGGCCGCATTGGCCAGGTCCTAAAAATATTACTATTCATCTCTTCCATAAATATTAGATCATCATTATCAATATAAATAGAATTTCTCGCTTTCTGAGCTTTCGACGGTAAGAGTGACTATGGAAGATCTCCGCACCTACTTCTTCCAGACCACGAGTTGGGACCGAAAATTTTCGATGCGGATGCGCGCTGATATCTGCAGGTCGATGGGTTGACGGGCGTTTCAATTTGTTACTGTTGAGCTTCTTTCGGGGCGGGCTTCTTGGTGAAGACGGGCAGGTCGTGGGGATAGTTCTTGAATACAGGCGCTTGACTCTGTTTGTGGCGTATGTATAAGAAAGCGCACATGATACACGTCACCACAAGGACCACCAGAAGCAAAAGCAAAATCGAGGCGAATCCCAGTGTGGACATGCACACCATGGAGCTGAGCTCCTCTTGGGTGAATTCGAGTGATTGATCCTGAGTAGAGTTACCCAAGCTAAAGTCAACGTCGCCGGCGCTCAGAACTCGAATGATCTTCGACACACCGATATCTTTCTCGCCCTCTTCGAGAGCGATATCGCGACGGAATCGACCAAGATCACGCTCTTGTCGGGAAAGCGTAGTCGTGTAAGTTATCTGACGATCGCCCGCTGCTGCGTGCTGGTCCTCCGGTGCACATTGTTCCGGACATTGATATCTGTGGACAGAGGTTTCCGTTGAAGACACCGACAAGACATTCCTCGGTAGGCTAATCCGCTTACACCTACGATTCGAAACACTGGAAATCCTGCATCACGAACTACCCGCAATACGTACCTGCAGATCTGGATGGTGCATTGGAAGTGTACTTCCATTGTATCGGGGAACTTGAAGGCTTGGAAGTGAGCGTATGAGAGGACTGTGGCCGATGATCCGAAGTTCTTGATTTTCGTGAATCGTGACATGAGCTTCGGACGGGCAACGCATCCCTTGGAGTCGACCAGTTCGATGGGAGCCCGCTGTCCGTCGTGGGCGATGCAGTTGCGCACCAACATATCGAACTTGTTCTCGTCGTCCTTGATAGCGAGTACCTGTGGGAAATTCGAGCTCTTTACGAACGATCCCTGCTGCTGCGAAATGAGACCGGGGGCGCTGTCGATCGATTGAGAAGCGGTCTTTTATGCTCTGAAAGATCAGTGATACTTGCCATGGTCATTGTCTGTCCAATCTTGACGATACCGGCGACTTCGGAGGCCCATGGACCCTTGCCGGCTTGGATTTGCATCCAGCAGCCGACATTGTCTCCAGCGAAATCGGCTCGTACGACATCGAGCATATCGACGGGGAATGGACGGAAAGTCACAGCTTTCTCATAGTTGTTGTGCCACGTACAGCGCAATTTACGAGCCTGATCCCAGACCTCCTGTACTTGGTGATCGTACTGAATGATGATCGTGTTTTCGAAGAACGATCCCGTGGCCGTATTGCCCTCCTGTCCGTAGAGTCCATTCTGAGCGTTTCCGACGGTGCCACAAGAGTTTATGGAGATGTCGAAAAAGACGGATTTCTTGCCGCTACCAGCAGGAAGGTGCACGCACGATCCGTAGGAATAGTGTCCTGGAATGTTTTTTATGCATACTCAATGAATGCTCCGTGAACGAATCGCTAGGCAAGAGGGTGCCAATCAAGGCAACGACACAAGTGCTGAACGCAGAACGAAATTCGGACAAACATAGAAAGGGTTACCATGTATCGCTTCGGTCTTTTCGACCAGATCGGCGTTTTCTGAAGTTTCTCTCTTCTGACGCTCAGGGCCGTAGCTCACATTATTCTGGTTAGCTCTACGGCCCTGCTTTTGTCTTCGGAGTAAGGCTGGATTTAGTGTGCCTTGAGGACAATACGGGACGATAACGTACGTACATGACATGACAGACAAATAAGACACATTCAAACATGACAGACAAATAAGTTCGAACGGACGGAGGGACGAATACACATTGCGAGAGGTAAGGCTTTTGCCTCTGGAATATGGGCGGCAAAAATGCACGAACCTTTAGAGAAAATGAGTCCGTTGAAGGGCCGGTCGAACTCCACAACTACCTTCATGAGATTCTTCTCACACTTGACGTCGAGGTGAACGATTTTGGGCATGTCAGGTTGAGACAGCGGCCAGGCTTCTTCGGGGTCAATGTGAGCAGGTTGGTGATTGACGGGAATCGGCGCAACAGCGTTGTCGTGGATCTCTTCGTGATGCTCCTCATGATGATGGATATTCGAAGGTTCCTCTTGGATTTGCTGCGCTTCAGGTTGGTGGTGGACAGGCAGAGCTTGCGGCTCGATGTTGTGATGGTGAACGGGTTCTTCGGGATGGAATACCGGCGCGTGAGCTTGTTGAGCCATTGGGACCGGATGGGGGTGGAAGACGGGAGCCGGCAACCCGTTTTGAGGATGATGATGCATTCCCGGGGGTGGAAGATGTTGCTGTTCCTGAGGCCAGGGTTGGGGCGCGTGGTGTTGGACATTGACGAATTGCTGCGAATGTCCCACACCTCGAGGCTGCGGAGCGTGTTGCGGGATCAAATTCGACGGAGCGTGGATCAGGCCGTGGGCGTTGAACGGAAAACCGAGATGGAATTGAGGCGGTGCCTGAACTCTGTTTTCAATTATGTGACCCGCTTCCTTCTGCTCGTGTTCAGACGAGACGTGTTTGTCGCTATGCAGAGCGGCGTTCACTGCATCAGCGAAAGCGTCCTCGTTCGATGAGGCGGCCATTTCGAGATCCTCGCCGGAATCAGAGGCCGAGGCATCGTTCTGCTTCGACTGATCCTGTTGCTGCTGCTGCTGCTGTTGCAGAGACTGTTGGTCTTCTGCCTCCACCTGCAACAACGGATCGACGGAACTCTTAGTCAGCTGAAGAGAGTGAGAACTGTCTGGAGTGAAAATTACTGAATTCTGTAAATCGGGAAGGAATCGAAAGAGTTTGACTGCGGATGGTTTCACGTGGTTCCGGGTTGGCTCTCTCCCATCATTCACATGAAGTCACGAGAGAGGATACACCATACGAGCTTCGCCTCTGGAATACGGAACAACCGCTATCTCGGAGCTCGACGGGATTTCAAATTGAAGGTTTTAGAGGCGCGTTTCGCATTTGAATCCATCAGCAGGGTTCTTCGTACGTCCTCATCTCCCTCCCAGGTGTATCTATCTTGTCCGACGTCGTCGTGAGTGCGTGCGATCCTGTCCGCCCGCCTGTCTTGATGAGTGTCGGACGGACGAACTGGATGAATGACTGACTGACTGACTGACTGGCTGACTGACTGACTGACCATGTTACACGGCTAGAATCGCTTCAGATTGGTATGGTCGTCGGATGACGGGTCTTCCATTTCTTTGTATGAGAGAACAGATCAATAAATGCTTGCCGAGCAAGCGAACTATTGATCCCGCATTTAGCCGAAGTTGCTTTCTGCCATTACTGCCGCCGCTGCGTTAATTAGACCGTTCCGTTGCTCGATCGCTGCATGGCTAGAGGCCGACTGGATGCTCTGCCAGCGAGCTGTCTGACGTACCCGCAGTGACCCGTTTTTATTCCACTGTATTCCATGAGCACGCTGGTCTGATTGTCGACTGTCGCTTGCCCTTCTTTCGGACGCGAACGAGCGAGTTACGGACGGTCAGTCAACTACAAGTTTCCCGGCGAGCCTGACTCGAGCACGGACCTCCTCGGAGGAGTTTTCTAGTCCCCCCCGTCCCTAATATTCGGCCCAGAATCCCGCGTAGCTCACTGCCGATCAAATCCGAAGCGGCCGTATCGATAAATTCCCGGGAACGACGTAATCCGGGTAAATTTCCGGTTGCCGAAAGTAGATCTTGACGACGGAGTATCACGGCGCGATCCTCTCGACGAAATGCCGAAAGAAAGGCGCGAATCAGTCGGCGGTCGATCTATTAGCTCTACAACATTAGAATCAAAGAAAAAGGAACACCGCGAATGGCGGGCATCGACAGCGTCGCGTCACCGCCAATAATAATCGGTCCGGAACTCGGTTCTAAAAATGATCTATATATTGGATACCGGAGCGTACGTCTTCGGGAAAAAGGTCACTGAGAACTGAATGCGGACAGAGTGAAGTGAGAGCGATGTGGAAGCGAAAAACGAAGAGCGCAATCTTAATTGGGTCACTCTTGTCGATACATCAATGAATGAAAGAAAAAGCCAGTTTCTCTGCCGGTCTCCCTTTCGCCTCTTCTTCCGCCATTTCATCGATCCACTGACTGGCTGCTCGAAGTTTTCCTTAGCGCAGACGTAACATTCCTCTTGTTTTCCATCAGCGGTTCTACTTGGTGGCACCAGCAGCGGTTTAAGGAATGACTTGCTTGGGCGGATCCGGGGGGGAACGTCCTTGTGGCACTCGCGCCAGTGCTCGGGTACCTCGCTCAACGAATACCGCTCTAACTGAGTCGTAGGCTCCTCGAGCGCGCACAGAGAACCGCAAGGAAAATGACGCAGCAGAAGTTTCCGCCGTCGCGACGGGTCAAGCGGCCAGCTGACCAGAAGGCTAAGAACCACAGGAAGCTACGGTGAGGCAACATCTGCTCTTGTAAGCAAGCAGTTAGTCTGAGCGAGCGGTATTTTGGAAGCATCAGTTCTCTCAACAGAAAACTGAGGATCCTACAAAAAGAAACCTGCGAGTAGACAGAGCGAAGGGTATAACGAGCGACAAGAAAAAGAAGCGGGAGATTAAGGCAGGAAGAAGCCGAAGCTAATAGTATATTTATCTTCCGTAAGCTCACGTATCTGACCTGGAATGCGGCAAGCACAGGCGACCAGCAGGCAGAGGAGCCAGGCAGTCACTTTGTCTGTCGGTCTTCTAGCGAGGAGCCGCTCGCGGCGGAGAAAAGCAGTCGAAGCCGACGGATGATAAAGACGCGCAGACATACCGAAATGTACAAAGAAGGCTACGGTCTGACAGCCTTCGGCACGGTTATGCCGGCATGACTTACTCATCTCCGAACTCGACTGGCCGTGGAAAAAAATGATCAGACCGATAACGATTGGGATCTGCACCGATCCATTCTCAGTATTTTCGGCCCACTCGTACTATCCTCTTCCCTCCGTATCATCCGGATATCCTGAGCAGGATAGAGAAGTATTGTAGCATCTGAGCGTCGAGTTCGAATAAGAAGAGAACATTGGTCTATCCCCACCTACCGACATCCACCATGTCGATCTCCTACGTCTCGCCCCCAGGCAGGAGAGGTTGGAATTCTGAAAGAGATTTCCAGCGGCTCCTTTTCAGGGAGCGCGCCAGGGCGAGACTCCGAACAGCGACACTCTCCGATCAATCGTACCGCGCAGCGTAGAATCGCACTGTCCTAGCTCTCAATTAATGGGACACTGTGTTTACGAGCCGCTCCGCGGACTAGCTACGCTCTCGAGCGGTCGCGTGCTATTTCTTATTCATGAAGAAAAATTATCTCCTGTAGGTATAGGAATTCCATAGGACCATTGTAGCGGGGATTAACGGTTAAGGGAGGGGAAGTGCGAGATGATCCGACGGAACTTCGTCCGTGTCTAGGCTATTCGGAGAAATCCGCGAGCGTTTGTTGTCTTTTGCAGGATGAGAGAATCGGCTGGTGACCAGAAAAGCGACACAAAGGAAAAAGAGTGAGAGTTCTTAAAGATTCTCGCGCAGTGAAAGCAGCCAAGGAAATGAAGGTGCTGAGGCGGGCAATAATTTCAAGTGACTGCTGACCCAGTGCGCTGTAGCCGCGGGCCATGCTGCTTGCTTTTTTAGCTGGCTCGCTGCGAGTTTATTTATCAATCTATCCATCTTTCTGCCCATCTATCCGTGTGTCTTTCTGCGGACCGAAACCGTCGCCCGGTTGGCAGGAGCAATCCAGATGTCGGTATCGAGGCATAAATCGTTTCTCGCGTTGTTTTGATTGCAGACAAGTGAACACCGATTGGGAGCATAACGATCGAATAACGGCTTTTCCGGCAGCGATTGGCATTTTAATTTGTCCTGGTTCCTGTCCGTCTCTCGCCGTACGCGCCTTCAGCGACTCGCTTCCGAACTTTTCCCGCAGAAGAACTTCTCGTATCCGATCGCGTGCAAGTTCCGACGACGAGGGAAATTGTGCGCGATCGCGACGAGGACCCGGCGCGACTTATCACAGAAGTGAATGAGGAATCCGAATGCTGCCACCACCATGTTCGGGTCCATGCCACCGAGAACCAATTTGGCATCGCCCGGCTCGCCTCTGGCTGTCCGATAAAAGGAACGATGACCAGGAAGCGAGCACTGCGCTGATCAAGACGAAATCGGATCAGAAAAAAGAATTTCCACAGATGCCTCGACGACCATTTTCAATTCGGAGAATAATCTCCTTTTCCCTGCCGCATTTTGCGCGTGTTTGCTGTCAGCAGCAGACCTGAATCCTATTGTCCTGGCCGGACCAGCCCCCCACGAAACTTCTTTGAGTCGCTCGACTCAGAGCGAGCGAGGAGATATCTGGGCTCCTTCGCGTCAGTTTCAGCATTGTAGACCGGGAGACTGCGGACGATTAGGTACATGGTGCCGCGAGCCGAAGAGGCGAGAGCTTTCAAACCGGCCGTCGCGGGCGGAATGCCCCCGACGAATTGGTCAAGCTCTTCCAAACTGAGGGAATCCTTCCATTCAGCTCGGCCCACCGCCGGTTTTCGCATGATCGCCCGATGGACCGCTATCGCTCGATCGAGGCCTCCCAGGGCGCGTTGAGCAGCTGCCCCGATTGGCTCCGTGATGCTTACGTCGCTGAGCATCAGTGTTATTAAAGGTGTCACTTCAGAATGTCCGGGAATAGTTAGAGGCCCCTTTCGCAGAGAGGATCCGAACGGAAGTGAACATTTTCGATCTTGAAGACCTCAGGGCGTCCTTAGAGATCGGAATTCGAGAATGTGCCCGCGATTGTTCCACAGATCCGCACTATGGGGGATAAAATGGTTTCGGAAGAGCCCATGCTCATTCCAGGTACGTCATGCAGATCTACGGTCGATCATGGGCTGATAGGTTCAACCCTCAAACTCGTTTACTGGATGTCCCAGATCCTCGTGAGGGCTCCTTCGCCTCGAACAAGTCGGATTCTCGTGACGGATAACGGAAACGAATGACAGCGGAGGAGGATGAGAGGAACTCCGACCCGACGGCCACGACGAGCAAATTCAATTGCTAATTATTGCTCTCATTCTCAGCGAGAGTCGTTTGTAGAACACTTTTTCGCGACTAATTCTCTGAAGTTCACGGCGACAGCTCAGCGATCCAGACGGGTTTAACGAGTGAGAACCTCGCTCGCGATAATTACGTACAGAACGTTCTCGACGCTTCCGCAAAGGAGTGGAATTATTTCGTCTGCTTCGCGGGACCATCATTCTTGTAATGGCCACGGCGGCTCCCCTTTCGCGGAAGACATTCCACAGTCGCAATCCACACTCGCAGAACTCCTAAACTGCGTAAACTGAGTTGGACGGGGTCTCCTACTGGCAAACGAGCTGAGAAACATGCTCCGGGGCCGTTTTTCCCTTTCCGGCTGCGAGCAATAAGTGGCGTGTATGAGTTCTCACTGTGGAATCATTATACATAGTACCGCGTTCCCTGAGAACAAGAGCATCCACAAGAGACGATCGGTTGACCACTCAGCCTTTGAGGGACTATGCGCGTTTTCCATCAACAGAAGCTCATTTGAAAAACGAAGCGAAGCGTACCGATAACAAGAGCGACCGACCAAGCAACCAATCGACCGAGCAAATGGCCTACCAACGGAACCAGCGCTCGGCGACACTTCACCGTCGTCGGCAGCAGCCACTAAAAGCTCCGAAAAAGTGTTGATTCAGAAAACCAGTGATTTCATCTATCGTCGTTGTCTGGGTCCATGGAAAGAACAAATGCCTGCGTGGGAAGCACGAGGCGGGGAGAATAGATCGAAGTCTTCTCAAACATGGGGATCGGCGACTGATGGTGCATTTAACCTAATTAGCAAAAGCTGAGATGGACGAGCCGATTCAGAACTCACCTGGCTGCTCGCCGAAATTGCTATGAAGGAGAGCAAGAGGAGCAGGCTTTCAGAGGGGAGCCGCATTGCGTCTTGTATGGAGGGACCTGTAAGTTGGAAAAAGATTCATTTAGTTCGGAAAGTCAATGTATTCAACGCAGTCCTCCGACCATCAATCGATGGCAGAAAAATAAATAAACACAATGCGAAGCATCATCAATACAGCTACCGTCAGCACATCCCCCGTGCGCAACTCAATGATTCCGCGCCACCTCGGCCCAAATTTTCGGTTGACTTCAAGAAGCACACCGACATTCGAAAAAGCTTATTGAGGATCTTCGCAGAATCGTGCACATCTATCCATGACCGGAGTGTTCGACCGACACGCTGGGGTCGTATAGGAGGGCGAAGATTTTGGGACATGATTCCGAAATATGATCTCATGCCGTTCTCACGCTTCTGTGGGGACTGCGGAGCCGCCGCTGCCCATCGGAAGAAACATCTGATCTGATTGGGGCGACGCAATTGTGGGAATGCACCCTAAGATACTTTGAGCTGCCCCCGTGGCTTCCTCCCGGAAGGACCGTGAAGAACAATGTGTCATCTTCAATCGTTGTTGAACAGCCCGAGCGAGGCTCTCAGCGTTAGGATACCAACACGCGCTTTCACTTCCCTAGTGTCACTTCTGTGATGAAGATATCGCAGCAGTCGTCAACTCCCGATTTAGGGCTCGTTGGGGATTCCCCAGTACGCAAGCGAGCCATTATGTGAGACGGACCGGCGGCGGGTGACGGAAGGCATCGATTCCTGAGCTCGGAAACTACCTACATCGACTTGACGTCAGAGCCGGCCAGGATCTCGTGCAGTCGCGGGTTTCATAATTCGCCCGTCTTATTGTTAGTTCCTTGATGTACTTCTCGCGTGTGACGCTTCGACCCGGACCGCTTTCAGAGGTGTTCCGGTAATCGTCACAGGAGAATGTCGGAGCCAGCTTCCGGCCTGATAAGTCGAGATGGAAAAATAAGTGGATACACTTTCACTCTTGCACGAAGCTTGGAACTACTCGAAATAGGGATGACTTCACTCCTCATCGAGTTAGTGTCATGGATCGTGATAGTATCGAGAGCTGACGAGAAAGTTTGTTACACGCAAAATGAGAGAAGACACTTGTTCATGAAAATAATCGACGAGGAGCGATGTATCTAAGATGAACCAGCCCCGAGTGAAGGCAAGGGGCCCAGATTATCCGGTGTAACATGCGAGAGGCGTCGGTTTAGTTCACGGAACCCCTCGATGATCCTGTTACAAAGCAACATCCGAGCCTCAGAAGATACCGACAGACTGACTGACTGACCGACCGACCAAGCAATGAGCCGAGCATCGACCAATCAGTCGACCGCTCAATTTCGATCTGATGCAAAGCATGACTGACAGCGACGGCATCCACCGGGAACTATATGCGGGATAGAACACAATATCTTGTGTCGAGCTCGACGCCAGCTTAGCCGGATCGATCTATGAATTCAGTGATTGATTCCACCGGCCGCTTCAATCGGCGTTCTCTCATCGCTTGACCGAGTAGTCAATTTGTGATAAGGAACCGAGTTGTTTCGTGATGCCGGTTCCGAACAACTACGAAAACCGATTCTGAACAACTACGAAAACCGATTCCCGAACGCGTCAGGTGTTCGCGAGCCCCCGAATCGGAGAAATACAGTGTTTCGATGGTAAATGGGAAGAATGCTGTAATTGAGAGGTACCTTAACCAGATTTGAAGGTTCACAAATTACGCTTACGGTGCGTCGAATACTTTCGCTTTGTGACACCGGCTCTGAGCGTCTCCGCGGGAGATTTATCGTTGCTTCTCTCTGGACCTTCCGTCATTAATCATAATCCAAGTACCAAATATCGATTCGATATTTCGCTTTTTGAAAACGCGAGGATTTATCGCTCCGATCCCGAAAAGGATCTCTGCGGGATAGAGAAGCATGTCTTGCAGATGGAAGCCCGGCGGTGTACGAAGCCACACTTGGAAGGATTGATCCCATTTCCGCCACAGAAGGAGTTGGAATTTCATATATATGTATTTGGAAGGCGGCTCTCATCCATTCGTCGTCCTGCTCTTCAGAAGTTGTTCGTCTCGATGAGCCGTCAGCCGCGGTCCAAGCGGAGCGACCGCTCGATCATGCAGATAGGCATGAGCCAACACAGGAGAGGAGCAGCAAGAATGAAGGCATAGTGAAACACAAGAGAATTCTCATCGTCATCGTTCGATTTGCGATGCCGGTGCTCAAGCTTCCTCGATGAATCCTCCGCCACGCTTCCCTCGCTGCTCCTGGACCTACCGGAACGCTCATTATCGGCGTTCGATATTTCAACTGAAGGAATCTGAGTTCGAAGCGTTTCCTTCAAATGCCGACTGCAAGCCTCGATTCAAGCTCAAACGACTCAAATCTGTGGCGAGCGGCTAGTTGATCCGTACAGCCGAATTTTTGGATGATCGCTCCGCTCTGACCCAAATGTACGACGCTAATTGGAGTTTAATTTTCGGGACCAGTTTACAAAGTGTCTAAATCGTCGCCAGAAGCGACTCGGCAGCGGCGAGAGAGCGACAATATGGTTGACCCAAATTAGTGATGAACGACGTCAACAGGGAAGGCGACGCCGTCGGCGAACCGCACTCATGTCAGTGAGGGAAATTTTGTCCGGTGGAAGTGAAAGTTGCTCGCTCTGAGGAATGACCTTTCGCTTCTTCTCCGTCGCTTCACTCGGTGGCTGTGTTCGAGCCTCGCTTACGGCGAAAATTCCGTATGATTCTTTCCACCGAGCCGGATGGATGTACCGACGAGCGGACGAAAACTGGGACTTTCATACACCTCGACAGCGAAAGACAAGCGAATTCATTGGAAGACGCCTCCCGCCGACAAGTCTGCACAGGAATCGTAGACTGATGTTGGGGGCGACGTGACGACAAGACGGAAAAAAATGAGTTCTCCTGAGGACGACGAACCAACAAACAATCACGCTCGAGCTCAATCAGCGGAAGTCAGTCTGCCGGTGATGGCTCCTCTCTTTTTGGAAATCAAATCGCGGTCTGAGAATTCACTGGAATATACCCGATGGAAAAGGACAATGGGCGACCGAAGAGCTCTCCCATCGTGGAGTCGAGAAGAGCGGGAGAACTTCAAGGTGTGTGTGAACGAGAGGAAACGACCTCGACTTCTCAGTGAAAAGAATATCATCACTCATTCGGGAGTCGACTGGCCGGTCGTTGTGCGCGCGGATGAGCATGTGACGGAACGGGAATTCGTCTCTGTTCCTCCCGACGTCGCCGAGGAGCATTGTGTCTGGTAATCCTCACGCCTCATATTTTCGCAGACAATCTGGCGCTTAGCAGCGCGCAATTTCTCAAACGGAAATACGAGATCCGTCTGAAATTCGAACGACTGAGAAGAGTCGCATCCACTTCGTCTCTATGCCGAGCCTGCAGCAAGTCAGTCGCCTTTTTGGGCGCATCTTGTACGCACACTGTCCAGTGATCGCACGCGGTCTGATTGGCAACCACTCGTCTAATTGGCGATTTAATAATTCTAATCGAGCAGAAGGAGATATTTAAACCCTTAAGCATAATGATCTTGGGAGTGATATTAATGTAGGCGGAGCATCGACCGTGCGCGGTAGAGCCTCATGTGAGCAGCTGAGCGATCCCCGCCCGCTTGCCCGCCTACGCATCCGTCCGTCACGGTCGATCCCCCATGCGACTCGAAGGTGCCCGAGTTAGTAAGTATCCACCGTAACATCCCGGCGATCTCCCCGAGCGATGTCGATCAGATGCCGAATCGGTACACAATTCGAAAAGCTACAAGGACAGTGGAGGAATAGGCTACACAGGGCTCGAATTCAAACTTGACCGGCGTTCCAGGGAGAATACTGACAACCCATGAGCTAAGGGACGAACGGGCAGAGGGACATTCACAAAGTTTGTCGTGGACGTATTTTTTCCGGCGCTCTTGTGAGCAGGAGCCCGTACTGTGAGAGCAAGTTTTTTGTAAACTTTCGGTGACGGGGAGTTCATCTTTTAACCGGTCAACACGAGCGTTGGTCGGATCTGGCCCTCGCTTTGCTCCGCATGACATTTTTCGAGCAAAGGAACGGAGCTAAGGCTTCATTTGGTTCTGAGCATTTCTGAGCTTCCAAGCGAGAACGGTGGTTCCGAGCGAACTAGAACCAGCTTCGATGGTGGAACGCTTCCTCGAAAGCCGCACCGTATAGTCACTCGCAACACAATCGCTGGAGAAGTCGCTCCGGGGGAGCCGAGCGCTGACGACAGAGATACCATCGTTTACCACCTCTATCTGGGGGTATGAACGGAATCCTAACGACGTCGCTTGTGATCGTTCGGGGAATATCCGGTCCCGAGGGGAGGGCACAAAGTCCGCGAAGGGTCGAGATTATCCTCTCTCGGCGGGCCTATACTACTCTACACTTCACACTAGTCTACACTTCAAGAGGAGGATTCCTGTACCTTTGAACGAAGGCGATGTCCTCCTGACTGAATTATTCCAAATACTGAAGTCGGAGATCAAAGATGCCGCCCGTTCACTTTCACTTGTGCGACTGCTCCCAGCGGAGGATCCCGACAGCACCGTTCCTTCAGATGTTCTGAACTTTTGCCGGGCCTGCAACCACTTTTCTGTATGAACTGTTGTGTACCGTTAACGCGAGCCTTACCCAAATTCTAGCGATGCCCGGAGAGAGTGACAGAGAAGGTTCGCGCGCCACGACCGATGAAGGCGAGAGCGAAGACAGCCGCAGCTTCAGCGGCTCCGGCGGCTCAAGCAACATCTTCTAGCAAGACAGATAGTGAAACTACTTCTGGTTTTCACCGTGGTCAGCTGTCGCTGCTCGTTCCATTGGCGACTTCGCCGCTTGTTCGGAACGATGTGGCTCCGGAGAAAGTTAGCCGATTCGACGGAGCATCAAGCGCTCATCGAAGTACAATCACGCAACCACTATCGGGCTCTATGGATGGATGTATGATGTGGACAGCGATTCGACGAAATCAGACGCAGGATTCTCAAGACATCCGCCGCGTTCATGTATCGAAGGTGTTGAATGTTCTACACGGCTTAGCTGAAACCGAAAATTAATTAACGAGACATCGGTACGGATGAAGCTTAAAAATATTTGCACATATGTATGTACGTCAGAACGAGACGTCTCGAGGGGGTGCCTAATGAGGTACTCGAACAGACGGGTCCCCTGATAGCCAGAGACGATCGAAGGCTGTTCAGTCTTGTTCATGGATCACCGTCAATCAATTTATGGATGTTCGACAGAATCTACTTTAAGATGGATAGGACCCGAAGACAGCTAAACAGAGTCATCTGATCGGATCCCCATCAGCCCCCGGGGATAAATGAAGGCTCGGAGATAATTATTACTTGAGTTTCTTGAGTTTTTCATGAATCACTCGGTTTTTGCGTCGAGCCTAGTGACCAAACATTGCGCTGGAGCTCATCTTGAAGGACGCACCGCCTGAACCACCTAATTTAATCTCCGAAAATACGGCCTTCTCGAGAAACTAGTAATTTCCGGAAAAAAAACCGGCCAGTGCTGTCCGCCGTATCCAGGACGCGGCACGCGGCGCCATAGACTCAATGCTTAAGCGCTTCGGCGCGCCATGGCGCTTAGGCATTGAGTCTATGGTCCATGGGACTTGCAATGCTCGGTGCGGCGCGGCGCAAAGCTCTGGTACCGGCTCGTGGGAAATTCGGAGGGGAGTTCTCAGTCCGAGCTCCATATTCCGCTGCGACGGCTGCGGGCGGCATCAGCTATCATGAGGAGGCGAGAGCCCTCGAAGAACGGGATCTGTGATCGAGCAGCGAGCGTTCTCGGACGCGGCTTACGGAAGAGTCCCAGATAGATCGCACAAAATATCGCTTCGGACGTCTGGTTCCACAGGGCGATCTGAAGAATGACACGTAATGCCATCAGCATCGCACGTACGCGATCGGAAACGTACAAGAAGAAACACGAGCAAAAAAATCGAAGAGGAAGAATGGTATGAGATGTCGCTTCGACGACGCTGTTGAGGCTCAGTGAGTATAATTGCTTTCCGTGGTTGATCGACCGGCCTGTTCGGTCGGTGTCTCGCTCGTTTGGTCGCCGCGCCGGCCGGCTGACCGGCCCGTCGGGCCGGGCTACTTGTGATAAGGCGATTTTTTCGGTAGATTAGAAAGAGGTTTCCAGCTATCGTTTGGGCAAAACACGAGCGTATTTGGCCGGAAGTAGATGACCAGGACGAAAAGTGGCATCAATGGAATACGATGAGAATCATTCCTGCGGGACAAGGGGAAGCAAAACGCCCCATCTTGAGCAGATCTACGATCGCTAACGCCGCGCCGGTGACGAGTGACGACTGACGTTCCGTGATCAGCTGCCACATCTTACTGTTCGACTCGATACACATAATAACAGCCGACGACAAGGCAAATCTAAGGGTTGTTGATGTCGATGTTTCATTCTCGGGTAAGAAAAAAGTACCGATGGAAGTACTGGATTCGGGTTCACGGAAGCCCGATGGAGTCTTCACCCGGACTCCTCCCCCCAGGACCTTCCGCTGCTGGAGATCGGATATTCAAGATCGACTTTCAATATCAGCTCGGAGTAAATCTTTTGGAATGAGCAGGACCGATTCGAAGATTGGAAGAGATCAAGCTCGAGAAGGATTGCGATTACGGGGAAACTCCTTGGGGAAAAGAGGTGATCATAGCCGTGGAATTTCTTCTAGGATCCATCTGGGTAGTCCCGAAACGGTACCCGATGCTTCCATTCTAGTCGTCAGTGAAGCTCGACGAGAAAACGCTTTCGTACATTCAGATTGGGACGGCAGTTCATGACAGCGCCTCTCCGTACCCATTGTTCCAAAGCGCTTTCAGCTCCATGTTTCCGGCTCTCTTTTTTTTATGGTCAACATCACTTATTCGCTTACTAGCTCTCATTACCGCAGGAGGGATAAAGACTCACCTCTTCCTTTCGCTCGGGGAGGAACATTCTGAGAAACCATCTCACATGTCAAAAGGACCGAACGGGCTCAGCGGCTGTCGTCTTTTTTTCCTGCAGCGATTGGTCCGCAGAAATGAGCGCCTGTCGTCAGCCTGGTGCATATTCGTCCGCGCTGTTTCTCATAGTCGTCGTTGTCGTTCGACCGACATATGCGTGGAATTTGGATCACATCGAAGACCAGAATTCCGAATGTTTCCAATTAGCCTAGCGGCCAGAAGAAGTCTTAATGACCCGTCTCATATATATGTACCAATGTGTGTGTGCATCTGGGCGAGTTGCTGGCTCCCTGATATTCAGCACCGTGTTCGAGACTTTTGATGTGCGAATGACTAGTCCTCATCGATTAGTCTTCCGAAGGACGGTGGTAGAGCGGGGAAGCAGGATGACGGGGGAGGAGAACGACTACTTGGATACCCATTAGGAAAAATTGGTATCAGAGGAATGGATTATCGAACAGATATGACAGTAAGAAGCTGCATCTGTGCAGACAAACTGAATGGAAAACACCCGGTCAGTGTGCTCTTGAACGTACAACATATCCAGCGAGCAACGGAGAAGGTTCAGCACAGATCGTCAGCGCTCTGGAAACGTCTCGTTCTTGGTTTGCATTGTTGGGCTCGCCGCTCTTAGTGAGCTGTTGTCTCGCGAACGCGATCCGTGATCACGACCCCAAGACTGTGGTCATTAAACCAACCCCTACAAGAAGATCGACTTCCCGAGAATTTCCCCGCGGCCGTACCTCAATCTGGACCATCGGCATGAGCACCCGGGTGCGAAATGACCTCAGGAGAATGCCGTTACTTCGTGCTCAGCCTCTCCTGGAAAAATTCCGGTCGGGATTCGTAAGCTATCCTGGTTATTCTCTACTGCCACCACGCTGGGTTCTCTGCTCCAAACAAGCGAACTCTTCGAGGGCAGAAGCAGTTCTTGGAGTGCGAGCTCTACATGCCGTCATGTGAAAACTGAGAGCGCGAGTTTCGAGCTGCTTGATTGGTTGTATACGAATGGGATATCTTCGGTCTAATTATCGATCTAGATTCGAGAGCATGCACGAGCAAAATCACCGCATTGGGCCTCGTATCAACGTAACTTGCTGACAGGCCAGAAAGTAATGGGAGGACCGAGCGGCGACGTTTTCCACACCATAGTACGAATTTGGGACGGACGCTGCGCTCATCTACAGTATGCGGCGTATTCGCAAAAGTTCTGATCTTGACGACTGCAGCCTAGCTAGCCGGCTGGCTATCTATCCATCCGTAATCGAGGGGACTTCCTCTCGTTATCTCTTTAAAAGCAACGCTGAAAAACGCATCCGCGCAGCCCTACAGGTCATCTATTTTCGGGAATCGGGGAAGCAAGCGGTTCAGCTCGGCGGACAAGAATCTCCGGGCTCGTTGCAGCCTCCTTGGCACTCGCGTCCGGTACACAGACACATCACCTGGGCATGCAGGGATAGTGACTTCTTCCTTCTCTGAAACGCCTCAATCATCAAACCGACGCGACGACCAGATGGGGTCGGAACTGCTTTCTACATCTCTACTCGACGATATTCGACGAGGGGTCCGTCGATAACGTCGATCCACGGTATGCTCCAATGTATCCGAGAATCATTCGCCCCAAAGTTCTGAACTCCTTGCATTTCGGCAAATACAGAGCGCACTGCAGTGCTCAGAGATGGAGCCGGCGACAACGATTGGGAGGCGGACTTGGAAATGTATTCACACGGTTCGTCCCTTATGAGATGAGAATGAGCATGCGGTCGACTTGGGTAGCAGCGGGCCTGCACCGAGAGCCGACGGCGTTGCTTATAGTCGCTCCAACGTCTAGACTCTCTAGTATGCACGACAGTCCCGTTTGGCTAGAAGAAATAAAGTTCCGAACAGATATCGGATTCTCGAATATACCGAAAATCATTGATAGATCGTGTATCCATCGCCAGATTCGATCTCATTCCTTTTCCAGAACCATGGGCTCGAACTCTCGACCCGAGTTTCTGGCAGTCGGGTGCTGGCTGAATATTCTACGGTTTGACAAGAGCCACCGTTCGTCCTTATTGTATCGGAAATGAAAGCATGGCATTCCGCGATGGGCCGAGAAGACATCGGCGATCGGAACGATAGGATCAGCAGTCTCTGTGGGGAAAAAGGGATGATGTTTCAGTCGAGGCACCCGAGACCGCGTAGAGAGAATCGCGAATCCAGAGATCGGTATGGCCCCATGCGGGAGCGCAAAATTAAGAAAAAGGCTCGAGCAATCAATTCGCGCCCGTAAGAGGCAGCTACTATGTACCAGGCCTTCAGTGAGTAGTCTGTCGCTTCTGCAGTTGTAGTTGTTCCCAAGATGGAGCTCATCGTCCTTCTCAATCTGGGTTACTCGGCTGCCGCTTATGCTGCCGTTGCTGTAAACCGAACGATTAAATCGAAGTGGAAGATGCTCCTTGGCTCCTCGTATACCATCGGTTATTTTTTTCTGCAGAAAACTTTGAGACCGACGGTACTGCTTCTGTTGTTGCGGCAGTACCGGCTGAAAGCGTCGTTGATCGTCCGATGCGAAGATCCTCGCCACTGAGGCTTGTTGCGATTACAAACAAATAACAGCGAGCTTCGCGGCCCCCAGTAACCGAAGCCGAGCTGCGCTTAGGAAAGTGTTCGCATCGACGGGGACCTGAGATGATCGTCAATTGAAGCTTATCTCGTGGGAGGTTTCGGTATGTAAGGAACGAAGGGTACCGGGATATCCACTCATATTCGGGATTTCTTCAGCCAACACTTATGGCCAGAGGGAGCGAAGGTTCCAAGATGGCGGCCGTGTCCTGTACTCCACCATAACGGAGGGTGAATCTCGGAGGGGCGAGGGTCCCTCGACCCCCCGCCCCTTCCCCTCTGCCTACGCCGTTGCACTCAATCAGCAACTTGGTTGATACACCGAGCCTTTTCTTGTCGTGTCGTTTGATCCCTGATCATCTGCCAACCGTCTCCCCTGAAAGCATGGTCTTTCCACTTTGGAACCCTTCATCTTGAAGAGAATTAGGCGATCGGGAATCTGAAGCCTTCTCTAAGGCAGCCTATCCTGACTGTTGGAGTTTCAGCGGCGGGACTGCTCGATGGAGACCGTGGCCTTGATGTCGCATTAGCGCGCCATGTATCGCCATCCGGTCTACGGCTCTGCTCGTCCTGTGTAACTTCTCGCCGACTTCTGCTCAATCTTATGCTCCAGCAGTGATGCGATTGCGTGAAGAAAGTCTGCATGATCCATCGCGGTACCAAATTCGTTCCCGACGGATATTTGACGTCGAAACATGCATCGAATAGACACCCAGATGTCAGCACTGTTTTTCGGAGCTTTACATCGGATCCTTTGCATCAATGTTGGAGACCCTGTCGGAGATTCGCTTGAGAACTGTACATTCGTAGGTGATCGGGTTGGTGATCACCGAGACTATTGCGTCCATAAGCGATCGGCGAATCCGCTTCCTCGGCGTGGGGAAGACCCAGGTCGTGCGCTGCTTAGAGTAGCTCTCCAACAGCGCGGAATCAGCTCCCTCGGCCCGACCTCGTCCATTCGGATTCGATTTTTGCCGTATTCCGATTGCCCCTGACAGGAGGCGATTTCGCCGGAAAATCCAGAGTTTTTCGGAATCGGACAGCTCATCTCCTTGCCGGAGAAGATCTCTCGGCAGCGACAGTTGACATATTGTGATATCGGAAGTCTGTTGTCAGCGCTGTTCTAGCCTTTCCTGCGATGCGATAAATGTCAATAGCGTCAGCCGCAGCAACAAGATTAGAAACGTCGGAGCACCGTCTGAATTCTGACTTCTTGGTTGGCCCAGGGGGAAATTCGGCGGAAGCTGCGTGACCGCTACGAAACTAGAGACACGACGAAAGAATAAATGACTAATGGAGTGAGCGAGCCAAGCAGCGCGTCCACTGTTAGATCAGACGTTCGTTCACTGCCTACGACTGAGGCAGACATGTCGGATGAGACGCACCGACCGACCGGCCGGCCAACAGAATTACAGACAGACACACACAAACTGGCGAACGGCAAAGGATAAACTGCCACCACAGACGTTGCCGCCGACATTGCCGTCGCCGCCAGTCAGGCTGTCAGCGACGGCAAGATGCTTAGCATTCGGGAAAAACAGCACACAAATACATATGATCGCATCGGTCAGAAGTGCAAGCGACGCTCTCGCCGGAAGAAGAACAATGAGCATTCTTCTTCAGCGGCATCGCCAACAGCTAACTTGCCCGAGCGGGCGGCCACCCGCTCGGCAGGTCGGGCAACTGTCCGCGTGAGCTTAGTGTTCAAGTCCATGGCGTGTCAAAGCCTCGCAGTGTTCTCTGTGTTGTACAGAGTTGTCCGTCGAAGGCGCAGAGGTCGGGGGGGGGGCGGGAAAACTTCCGAAATCCGCTCGAGGTCGTATCTTTCACGCGCAATCGAAGACGCCAAATCGAATTCGACGCTGTCGCCATGATCACGGGGATCGTCCAGCGCTGGGATGTCGGCGTCGTATACAGCGGTGTACCCCAGGATAGACAATGACATTCACTCTGAGTCGGTTGTCTGACCTCTGTGAGTCTCCGCAATGATCCGCTCTGTCGGAGACCCAGAATGCAAAAATCTGATTCTCAGAAAAAAAATATTCAAATCGAAAGTTTCAGTCTGTTATTCACCTATGCATCATCGAAGACGCTCGCATAAGCTTGCCTCATATATGGTGCTCCCCGGGCTAGACCACACAGCCAGACTTTGACGTCGTGGGGTTCACCCAGGTATTGCTTCCGAAGAAGCATCCCGAGAGCAAATGTCCTCGGTTGGATCGAGGCCGGGAACCAGCTGTTTCGTTAGGAGAATCCGTAGGGGATTCGCCTACGGGAATTGAAGGAGGCCGTATGGAGGAGACTGGTAGCAGAGATCGAACACACACCGCCTGCTGCGCGAGCGGCGAGATCCCACAACGTGAAAGCGGCTCCTCACGGAGTGAGTCCCCCTCCGCGG